CAAAACCGGCCAGACTCTGGGAGAATATTTGTTAAACTCGATTTCTTTGGTGCTACAGCAATGGTTCTGTAAGAGGGGCAAGTGGCCTCTGACACACCACGTGTCCTACAGGAAACCAAAGCGAGCAGGAAAGACAAAGAAAGGAAGAAAAGAGGCGATCCTGCCTTGTGTGGCATTGGTGATGCTTGTGTTCCTCTGGGACTGCTGTGGGCACGGGGTCATATGAGCTCTCTCCATGCCACTGTCACCAGGAGCTGCCACTTTCCCAGCCCAAACGTGCTCTGTCAGGAAGGGGGAGAAGCCGAGTGAGGAGATAAAGGCAGCCTGAAGTTTATGGCTATTGTTTAGGTCAATAATGTATTGATTATGTATTTTGTGGGCTAAAAGGTTGACCTTTTAAAGGGCAATTGGCGCCTGCAAGATTTGATTTAGGAGAAAGAAAAGAATTTAAATTCAATTTTCACTTCGTATTTCAGTGAGGAGAAACTCACAAGATTGCAGACGCCAAAGATGCTTTTCTGGGGAGGAGGTTGAGGAGTTTTCCTGGAGCCATCACAGAGAGCTTTGCTTCAGGTGGAAATGTCTCTGCTGCTTCTCTTGCACCACTGCTCAGCACTGCAGGTGCGTGTACAAGACGTGAGGCACTAAGCAGAACATTTAGTCTGAAGCTCAGCCAAGTAAATACACTGGATACTGAATAGCCTGTATCAAGGAACAAAGGTTGGTTTTCCCCCTGTAGGAACAGCCTGAGCAAGAAAACAACACACAGACCTGGATTAGAGAAAACCCCACATTTTTTAGGCAATTCTTGATGACCAATTACTTGCCCACTATTTTCTCCCCATTCCCACAGTGCGGTGTCATTGCCATGCTGGAACCCAGGGATACCCTCCTGGATGTAGCCCCTCTTTCCGCACTGGTTTTGCTGGCCCAGACCCCATCTGAAGAGGCCATCCCATTAGTGGTCCTCAAGAACTTGGTTTGGAAGACACCTTAAATATCCAGGTCTGGTTTTGTCCCTGTCTGGCTTATTCCCATTATTCTGTGATTGATAGAGCACTTAAACAGGGACAGCCATCTCTGATGGGGCTGAGCATCCCATGCCACCTGTACCCTGGGCAGGACTCATGGTGTGGACCTTGCAGCCTGGGATGCAGGAGCTGTGCCAGGTGATGGATTCGGATGGACCCTGACAGTGATTGCAGGGACAGAAATGGAAGCAGCAGGGTGACGACAGCATTCCTAGTCTCAATTGCCAGTTTCTAAAGAGCTGCTTTGCTCTTTGGAAAGCATTTGTTTCATTGTTCCATAAATAGGAGGGGCCTGGATGGCATCACCAGGGACGTCACTGGGTTTGTCACCACTCCTCTCCGGATACTCAAAGACTTTTCTGCCGGTGCCATCGGATTCAGGGCTTTCAGCAGCACAAAGTGGCTGTAAGGAAGACTGAAGTCTGCCATTTAGTGTGCCAAGACAGCTGGCAAAACCATTATGTGCAGCTGAAAATTTCATCACGTCTGCCAAGACATGTTCATTTTGCATTAATTGTGCTGCGCGCTCCCGCAGCATGAAAATATAATAACAAAATCTCCCTCTTCTCTACATCTCTCATTCCAATTGTCGCAGTTTGGCAGCTCAGCGGTGTATGTGATTTGTGATTTGGAGGGGTTCACTGATAGTGACATTTTAATTCAACTACACAGAGTGATGCAAGTGCTGGCGCAACCCGTGGGTGGTAGCAGTGCCTTCAGTATTAAACATGGCTACTTGCAGTAATTCACTTGCAAGAGCGCAGCGTGGCCCTCACATGTGAAAAGCATCCATCCAGCAATAACCCAGCATCTATGATTAAATGCTTACAAGCTTCTCGTGCCGTAATCTCAGCTGGAGCTTTGCAGCTAGGGTTAACTACTCCCAAAGAGCAAAGCATTTACAACACTTACTCCTGAGTGGTCCCGGGTCTTCCCAGTGAAGGGATGCCAAAACCTGTCATTGGGGACATGTGAAGGAGGGATGTAGCTCACGTGTTGCTGCTTTTGAGCCCAAACCTCATGCAGTCATGCAGCCACTTCCATGATTACCCTAACTCATTGCCTCCACGGCTGGTAGCACCTCCATGCTCTGCTCCTAATGACTCATACCCAAAGTCAGGAATTACAGCTCTGCTGTCCTGCTCAACTGAGGGTGTAAGAGTTGCTCTTTTGTCTTTGAAATATCATTACCTTCCCACCACAGAACTGTTATCAGCATAATGAATGACATACGCTGATGTCTTGTGCACAAGGAGGACCGCATCGGAGCGCTTGGCAATGCCTGGGTGATGACACAGCAGCCTGGGGATGTCCTGCCAACATCTTCTTTCCTGAAAGGATAAAACGAGGCAAACTCCTCGATTTCATGATGTTTTCCCCAAACGCACCCTCGTGCTGCTGCCCCCACAGCAGAGCTGCTGAATCAGGATGTTGTGAATGAGCTGTGCAAAGGCAGCATCAATGAATAATCGTGAAAGAGTTAAAAATCAGCTTTCTGGCCAAGCCCAGTGTAATTGCCAGCCCAGCATAACCCAGACAACCAACCTTGTGACATCCAGGACATCCTGCCCCACAGAATTGAGTCTCGAGGGGCATCTGCACTGATGGACACCACAGCTTCTGCTGGATGCTGTCCAGGAGCTGATGCTTCATCATCCAGGTTCTTGGGATGCCCTGAGTAAATTTCCTTAAAGAGCTCTTTGGCAGCAAACCCAACCGGCTGCCCCCAGCCAGCTCTTCCCTATGGAGCCAGGCTGAGAGAGCTGGGCTGGGTCAGCCTGGAGAAGGCTCCTGAAGGGAGACCTGAGAGCAGCTCCAGTGCCTGAAAGGGCTGCAGGAAAGCTGGAGAGGGGCTTGGGACAAGGGATGTAGGGACAGGCCAAGGGGAATGGCTTTAACCTGCCCGAGGGGAGACTGAGATGAGCTCTTAGGCAGAAGCTCTTCCCTGTGAGGGTGTTGAGGCGCTGGCACAGGGTGCCCAGAGAAGCTGTGGCTGCCCCATCCCTGGCAGTGTTCAAGGCCAGGTTGGACACAGGGGCTTGGAGCAAGCTGCTCGAGTGGAAGGGGTCCCTGCCTGTGGCAGGGGTTGGAGCTGGAGGAGCTTTAAGGTCCCTTCCAACACATTCTCAGTCTGGGTGGATTCAGCAGATGGATCCAGAGGCCATCGTGGTGGAGCCGGGGAGGTCACTGCTCCTGTCCAACCAGCTGCCTGCAGCTTCCTGAGGGAGCAGGTAGATATTTTCCTCCTCTTTAAAGGACAACTGACATTTGACTGCCAGCAGGGTTATAGCAATGATCGGGTCTGTATCATGGTGCTGAAGACAATTTTATCTGTTGTGTAATTGAAGGGACAAGTGCCCTCCTGGAACCTTTCAGGTGCAGGCGTGCGTTTGACACTGAATTTAACCCAATAATGTTGGCTGCAGAGACCTCAAAGGTTAAAAACCTTCGTGCAACTTCCAGTACAAGCAAAAGCTCCCCAGACTGAGTGGTTGTAGTAAGATTAATGCCCCGATCCAGCTCTTAGCACCCCAATCTGGGCTTGGGGTGGAGGGGGAGAGACCACAACCATGGGCAGGATTGTACTGAGTAAACTCGGTTGAGGTTGTCCCCATCAGGTGTGCAGCTGTTACCTTAAACACCGCTCCTGGTGAGTTAATAGAGTCTGATACAATAATATCAAATTAACAGCAAACTAAACACAAAAGCAGTTGGGACCCTAAATTTTACAGTATTAGGGGTATGATTGGTACAGTTTTTTACAGCTACCTGGGTAAGGTGGCCAAAGTCCTGCTAATGGGTGAAGATTGGAAAGGATTCACGGTGGTTGGGCAATTACAGAAGTGTAATTGTATAGAAAACTGCTGGTCTTCAAGCACAGAAGCCAGTGGTTTCACAGACTGAGCCCAGTCGATCAGGAGAGAACCTGATCGATTTGGCTTGACCTTGAGTTGGCTGAATTAACACACACAAGAATAAAATCAAGTTGCCCAGTAGGAAAGGTTGTACAAAAGCTTTAGAATTTGCAAATTGAGGGGCTTGTTTGCATCTTCTTTTCCTGTTTAACTGGTAGATCAACAACCTAACAGGCACATAGAAAACAGTTTGGGTTTTTTTCCTTTAACCTGCCCAAAACTCTTCAGTTCTGAGCTAGTAGAGTCAAGAAATGCCATGAAATGTGCAAGTTTTCGGGCTGCTTTTGCAGTGAATGATGCCCAACTCATCTGTAGCTTCCAACCCACCACCTTGTTTTTGTAGCGAGATCAGAGTTGTTCTCAATTAAATGGGGCAGGACAATTTCTCCCTCATCAGGGACACATGAGTCAGGACTTCACATGCACAACCTCCTCACTAACAGCTTGGGTCTTCTGGACCAGATGGTTCTCTGGGTGAGGATGGAGCAGACCTTCCTTCTCCTCTCCAGCCCTGTGGCAATGGATTTCCCTCTCCACTGCTACTCAAGGACCTTAAGCAGATGGCGATCAGCACTTGGAGCAAGGATATGAGCATGATAACGCTAAGGTCCTGGTGCAACACTCACCCCACACCCTGAAAACCAGAGACACACCACATGCTTAAACGGTGTGGCCAGAACAAGGGGAAAGAGCCACCAGTGGTCTGGTCTGAAGGGGACAGTTCTATCTCTCCTCTGCTCCTCCCTGTGACCGCATGTTCCCAGGGCCTTGTTGGGATCGTACCTATTGCAGCTATAGAAGTTGAGTTGGCAAGAGCCCTCCATTAGGTGAGATTCAGCATGACATTGCAGCACGTCTCTTCTTCCACCGAGCACAGATTTAAACAACTTCCTAGTTAATACAACAAATACAATCATGTTCTTCCCATTGCTCATCATGGAGAACATTATAAAACCATGTGTGCATGTTAGGTCTGATAGCCACACCAAGACTCACTGGCCACACGGCAATATGCAGCAGCTATCACATAAAACAAACACGACCACACTCTGTATTTACTGTTTTAATTATTTTATTATTATTATGATGCATAATAAATCTTTCACACAAAGTCATGAAAAGGATCCCCAGTGTGGTACATTACAGATCTGAAGGAAACCAGAGTATTTGTGACCGTGCCAGACTGCAGACACCGGGATGCTGCCAGACCCACACAATGCTCAAACTCTTGGAAGAGCCAATGGGGCTAGCTTGGATTTCAGCATAAATCTTGGTCTGTCTCCGCTCTTTGGGCTTTGGATTGTAACTCCAGCTGTTCCAAACCAGCCAGGCCCTAGGAGCACTAAATATGAACTAAATGCACAAGGAAATTATGTGATGGGAACAAACCTGTTCCTTCTGCACTTCAACTCGAGGTCATCGCAACAAGAGGACAGTGAGAAATAATTTACTGTGTGATTGATTCAGCAGCTGGTTTGACCTATTCTATCAGATTACTGCTCTATGTACCTTTCCCTTTATGAAAAGGCCTTTCAAAGAGAAGAATCAGGTTCTCTCCAGCTTGACACCCTGCCAAAACGCATCACCTCTGCTGGGCTGTGTTTGTGAAGTGCTCACTCCTGCTGCAGGCAGTGGGGAGAAGGGTGCTCACCTCAGGTTCGGGTGCTCATGGGCACTTTAAATCAGATTTAAAACGAGCCATCCAGTACCTTCAGAACCCACAGTTTAAAAGTGCATCTTCAGACTGACCCTTCCAAAGGCCGGGCAGCCCTGCTGACTCACAAACACTCTGAGTTTTGTAATAAAGATGAAATTACAAATCACTACAATAACCAAGAAGAGTTATCCCCTTTCAACGTTTGCTGCTCAAAGACGAAATAAAGCAGACCAAAAAAAACCCAAAAAACAGCACAAACCTCTGTGCAGCTCGGTCATGGTTCATTCCACCTATTTTGCTAAGAAAAATTGCATCCCCAGTCTCAACTATTGCCTTTTTGAAACAGCTTCTGTCATTTTAAAGCCCTAAATGCTCCTGGGTTGTACACATCACTTTGTAGCTATGCTTAAATAAATTTGGAAAGCTTTGCTGCCTTTTGTTTTTTTTTAAGCCAGCATTTCCATTTCGGTAGGACTTAAATGGACTCCCACCTCTAAATGAGCAGGTAAAAGGAAAGTACAATCCTAGCTCATCCTTCAGGGAAATAAAAATAAAGGAAGGGTGCAAGAAATTCTATTAAAAACCACTCAAAGAACTGTTTGAAAGCAAATGCACCTGATTCTTCAGGTCAATAAACAGAACATGCTGGAGCAGGTGGCGGATACAGGGGGTTGCCATGTATCTTTAGGAGCTAATTCCTTGTTTTTTATGTTTTGGCATGCAATGCACTGGTGGCAGTCCACACAGCAGCATGTGGGGTTAGGAGAGTGTCTGCATGCACGTGCCACAGGCACCATCAGGAGCCTCCCCAGAGAGGAAACGATCCTCGCCTCGAAAAATGAGATATTCGGTCAAAATCAGGTCAAGCCATTTCTTTTGTTCTCCCAACTGCATAAACAGGTATATCAGGAAAGGACACTTAAAAACAACAACAACAACAAAAGAGAAGTATTCTACATTCAGGTAAATTTATACTTATACATAAACCCTGTAATAGCAAACGGCATTTTCAACACGAAACTTAGCCAAGGATCCCCGTGACACTGTCACCATCCCACACCATTTTAACAGGACACTGTTCTATTGTACAATCCTACAACTATTTTCTTTGGAGAGTTTTTTGTTTGTTTTCCCACACACACATTCAATTTCCAGGAACAACTTTTGCTCAGACACGCAGTAAAACAAGTCTGCAAGGGACCTGACTCTGGAAGATGGTGTTTGTAGCCCTCTATCGAGTGTTTGCCAGTCAAAAAAGACTTTCTGTTGAAAATCCTCCCACAAACATTTTGTCAGCTAAATCAAGTGTTTTAAATCAGGCTGGGAGCTAATCTCATTAATATGCTGCTTGCTTAGTTCATTTGGTTGATGGCGTAGACACCAATTTAATGTCTACAGCCTTGAGAGTGCCACCGAAGTGAAGGGCTGTGAGTGAAAGCACAGGATTAGGTGACGAGCAACCCGTGGCAGAATCCAACAGACCACAGAAAGCTTGACCCAACAAACCTCCCTCACTTGAAAGAAACAAGAATACAAATGCTGTTTCCAAAACAAAGTCCGCAATCCCTTCCCTCATTTATCCCATTAAGTTAAAAGAACAATCGGGTTTGTGGTTGGTAGTAACATCATACCCCATGTGTAAGGCCTCATTTTCATCAAACAAGCTCTAGGTTACAGGACTATAAATGCAAGGTTCGCCTACAAGCCGTCGGTTCCTCACACCACAGTCTGTTGCCAGCGTGTTGGTGGCAGTTTGCTTCCAAGACGTTGACACTGGACTGTGCACTAGCGGCAAGCTTCATTCTCCAAAAGCTGTGGGGTCAGAGGGTGCACGCTGGAGGGGGTCACGTATTAACACGCGGTGCAGGTTTCTGTTTTCTGTAAGACAAGGGAGCTGCGTTGGCTTGGCTGCGGCACCTCCTTCAGCCAGAGTCCATAGTGAAGAGCTGGATGTCATGCGGGTTCCAGTACAGGGCCACGGCGGAGTTGTAGACCAAGGACCAAACGTAGGGGATGAAGAACTCCTCGGGCTGCTCCTCCTCCACATACTTGAACTTCAGCTCGGGGAACTTCTGCAATGAGAGAAACCAAAGTCCATTGAGGGGAGGTTTGCCAGTGCGTGTGTTTGCAAACACGCAGCCCACATAAACACCGAGGTCTGGTGAAGAAAGTCATGGGAAGAGCTGAACCATTAGACCTGAACGAAAACATTTATGGGATGAGGGGATCATTTATGATTTCTCCTCTGAGCTGAACGCTACATTCGCATACTGTATTCAACTCACACTCAATTTGGCTGTTAACAAAGACTAAACATGTGAATCCTTTGCAAAACACAAAGGTCTAAAGGAAAACTCATTTTTAGCAGCCACACAAAAACCTTCTTGCATGTGCATGTACAGACCTGTTCATTGCAGTTTTCCCTACAAAGCATTTTGCTATTAATTGTACTCAGCATCTCAGCAGGACAATTCTATGGAAATGCTGTGAGAATAAACATATCTTGTGATAAGTTTTCAGTGTCCTGGCAAACTGATTTTTTCCATCTGTTCTGAAAGACTTCATGTACTGGTGGTTGGAACTGGATAATCTTAAGGTCCTTTACAACCCTAACTATTCTATGATTCTATGACATAGAAGTTTCCAGGAGAGAATAGCTCTTCTTCCAGGAAGCATGGTGGGAAGCATGTGTAGGTTCCATGGGTGAGCTCACTGGGTCCAGGAGGCCACTTTCAGTGTTGCTGCGGGTTCTCCTGCACTCTCGGGTAGGTTGCTACCTCTGTGCCTTGGCTTTCCCATTGCTTAGGAGCACGCTAATGGCATCACTGTGGTAACTAAGAGTGCAGGACCCTGCAAGCTCCTCAACTGCAACACATCATGTGTCTATCCCACTTCAGCCCCTTAAGGCTGTAACTACAAGACCTGTACACACAGACCTCATTGCCTATCTACCCATGTATATCCCCGCCTGGAACTTAGAATCATAGAATAGTTAGGGTTGGAAAGGACCTTAAGATCACCCAGTTCCAACCCCCCTGCCATGGGCAGGGACACCTCACACTAAACCATGTCACCCAAGACTTACAGGCTAGACAACAATAACTTCAATGAAAGCTCTGTTTTTCAGTACCAGCTTCAAGCAAAGCACACAGCTTTAAGAATCAGCACACATCGGATGTCCTACCCCGGCCCATCCTAACTGGACAGACATGCTGCATCCTCCATTTTCCAGTGTTCTCATTTCTTCCCTCCCAAAGCAGCACATACACTGCAAACCCACTGCATTCACTCTCAGTAAGCGTGCGTTTTGAGGAAGAGCTGAGCCTACTTTTGTATTGTGCTCTTCAATCATTTTATCTATTTCTAAATGTTGCCTATGTCAAGAGCTTGGCAGAGTCTCAGATAAAAGCCACATTACAATGATCACTGGGGTAAGATAAAACATGACCCATTTTATTATTTATAAGGCTGTGGCTGAGACTAAGAATAAACTCTATGGTGTGACACGATCAGAACAAGCACAGCGATGGCTAAGAAGCCTCTTTGCCCATTAATAATGAAGGGATACCCTATCATCTTTCTTGAGCTCAGAGTGTCCTGTTTCCTTGTGTTAGGGTACAAGACCCTTCTGTCTGGAAAGACTCCTTTGAAGGGGCACTTCTCAGCCACTTGCCTTTCAGCGTTGTTTATGTAACTTTTAGACACCCACATTATTTGTATTCTCGGGGTCGGAAAGCATGGAAACTGCTCTACTTCCTTGTGTTGCTGTTGTTACTGGAGCAGTCTGGTGCAAACACTGAGCATACAGTTACACCAAGCCACAAAGGTGCCACCTGCATTATGCAGATGTCTCCACGGGCAGCTTCATTCAACCACAGGTGACAATGTGCCAGCTCCTACGTGTCTCCATGGACAGCCTTTTCAGCTTCACTCAACCACAGCCTTGGGTGACGACGTGCCTTCGGCTCCACTGATGAGGATGTTGGTGTCACCTTCCAGCATGCTCTAAGGTCCTGGAGCTGCTGCTGTTTGGCTTGTGTTGAGGCCCTTCACCACAGTTCTATTGGGCTGGATGCCAATCTTTAGCCTGGGAGGAATCATTTTGGCCATTGGTGTGGCTGTCTTTATAGTCCTGGATGACTTCAGCATGTGTGGAGAGCTCATCCTTAACAGCAACCCGGGATGGAAGGAGGACAGTATTGTTTCTAGCACTACCATCTCTATTTAAGGAACTAAGGCAGCTAAAAGTTAAGGTTGTTAAAGGCACTTCTGCATCTGGCTCCCTTTGAGTTCAAAGACCAGAACCTCAAAGGTACATCAGCAAGTTTCGTTTCCTGCATCAGTCATGCAGTCTGTGGTAGAGAAGCTCTCTCACGGCCCTTTTGTGCACCTAAACCATTTTCTACTACCTGTCTACAACCTCTCTTCCCCAGATCTGTTTTGATCAGCCTGCTGAATCTTCTGCATCATCTTGTTTCCTCACTCTATGATACCTTGCAGCCATACTCACCCCCATCTCTCATTTTCTGTCTCCTGGCCTTCTCTCATCTCCAATTTCCTTCCACTGCATCTTTATAGGTCTCTTTAGCAAATCTTTCTATTCTGCACTTGCCCAAGTTTTCTTTTTGCTCATCAGCCTTGTGAGATCCTCCTTTTCATTAACATCCTCTATCCCCTCCCACTTTGGCTCCAAGCCCTCAAGCTGTGCCTGCCTTCCCTCTCTGCCACACCATCCCATGACTCCTTTGGTAGGTTAAGCCTTTCTCCAAGTAAGCCCTCATGTAGATTTTAATTATTATTATTATTATTTTAAACTGATATTCTACCCTGCTTATCCTCAGTGTAATCTTCCCCACTTCCCTCCTAAATGCTTCCTGCCTGTGGTCAGTATAGACAGGAACATGTTCAGTTCAGCATTGCATCAGCAGAATGAATAGTTAAAGCTTAAGATTAAACCGCTGCAACATCTCCTAGTAGGGAAAAGCCCTTACACAGCTGCCACTGTTCACCCCAAAGGTGGCTGCACGCCAGTACTGCAGCCTGTAGTAGTCCTTCTGGGAGGGAAGGAGGTAAAAAAAGTGATTAAAGATGCTCATTGGAGTTGAATGAAACGTACAACTATTTTTCACCTTCAAGGTCACAGATTATAGCTGCTGGTTTTGCAAGCACTTATGGCAGAAGTCTGGGACCGTTCTGGGCTCTCAAGCAGCTTAACAAACATCTTTAGCTTTAAAACAGCAGGTAAAACTGCATTAGAAATTCCAATAGCTACATCTGAGACGCTCAGCTCTTACTATCCCATTATCTCTCAGCTGAAAGAACAGCATAAAATAAATAGCATTCATATTTTCAGGCAGTAACAGTCCTGCATTGATTTTATTATCAAGCCTTTCTTCAGACTGATCAATGTTGCCATCTATTGTGATCGTACCGTAGCAATTTAATAATCAATTTCGGATTAAAGACTATAATTTACTGCAATCAGCCTGGACTCTCTCACACTCAACGTATGCCTTGAGCAGTCTGCACGTTTATCTTGGAATGTAGACAAGGAATGTAGACAAAATTTTTAAGGAGAGGTATAATACACGATGCAATTACATACACACAATCTCAACTGTATCTTTATAGGACAAACATAAGTAATGGCAGAAGTGATGGATACTTGATGGTCCACCTGAATAGTGGGCCCAGAATAGCTCAGTGCATTGCTAACGAGACACAGAGAATTTGAATTCCAGGTCAGTAATTCAAGCCCAGCTTCTTTAGGTGACTGCAGTGATCCATGGCTGTGTGGTGGCCATGTCTTCTCATTTATTAAAAATGAGAAATCCTATAGGCTCAGCATGGAGAGAACTGCACCTTACAACATCTACCAGCGTGGCAGGCATCCACTGTAAAGATAAAACACTACCCATACTGTTTCACTCTTAGGGTGTTCACTGTAACCAGAATTTGTTAACATTCAAAAATCATCAAATTTAAGTCACCTCAATAAGGTTCTTACTTACCAGACTGACTTTAAAACAATTTATAACAGCAGGGGTTAAACACCACATAAAAAGCTTGACTGATGCCATAAAGCTGTAAGATTCTTGATGGGTGGGAGTTTAAGGAATGTTTAAATTCAGCTCTGTGCTATTTATCTCCTGCATGTACTGCTTCCAAGTGAGTGGTCAGAGCCGTCACCATGTGCTGCAGACAGACAGGAGATGACACCAAATGAATGTTTCAGGAGAGCTGTAAAGCAGCCAGGTCACAGGAGTCTTGGGGCACTCCCAGCCACCACTGGAGAGAGTTTTGTCATGGTTAAAATTCCCAAAGTGGAATTTCGTAGCATTGCAGGAATGTAGAAACCCCCTTTCCTCCCCTTTATTCCTCTTGTGCCCAACTTAATCCTGGAAAGACACTTGCTCCCTAGCTGGTGAGACCCAAATGAATCTGATTCTTAGCACTTGCTGAGAAGAGGGACCACTCTAAGGCATCTTAAATGATAATACTTAATAAGAGAGGAAAAGTCTTGGCATGGGATAAATTACCCCTATTTTTCCTTCACATCCCTACTCGTTCAGCTGGATGGTGTTGAGAGACGTAAAAACACTTCGTTACCTGTTCGCTTTGCTATTTAAGTTTTTAAACTCATTACCCTGAAGTAAAGAGGTCCAGTGGAGCCATTATTTGCATTTATCCCCAGTTATTACCAGAGGAGAGACAACCCCAACCAGTTTAAAACAAACCAACCTGAGAACCTGAGAGCCAGGGTTAACACGAGGATGCGAACTGCACAATTTAAATACAGAAACCACTTACCAGCTCTGGTGAATCAACCTACCACAGCACCCTGTCTTGTTTTCTTCTGCCAGACAAAGCAGAAGTCAAGATTTAGTGGTTGGGATGAGGGTATAAACTAGACAGACCAAGAACTTTGCAGACTGTCTGCGTTGCCAATCATAGGATTCGATGAAAAACCACAGGAAGTCCGATGAACAGATGCAGAACTGAACTGCAATAACTCCCCTACCGCAGGAGTTCAACAACACTGGGGCTTTTTTTTGTTGTTGCTTTTGCAGTT